CAAATGGATTAATTAATAAACTTTTACTATTTATTTATATTTCTATTTCGAGCAACTTTATTGTCCAAAATTATATATATCTTACAAACTAACATATATATAAAATAATAATAAAAATAACAAAAATAATTGTTTTTATGGGTCACCGTGTAGTTATTTGTATGTTCGGTACAAAAAAATGTAAATATAATGTACCTACATTAGTTTACAGAAATCTACAAAAACTATACGAAAATTATAGTAGAGTCTTGAGAAGCTCAATTACTTTTTCTTATTGAAACATTTGTATCGTTATACTTCAGATCAGAAGTGGCGTTAACCTCAACTATAAAGAGTATTTAAATGAGTAGTTAGAATAGTACAATGACTGGCAACAGAAAAACAAGTATGTTTAAAAATAACGTACAAAATTGTAAAAACAGTCAAGGTACAATAGAATGCTTTTAGCCATTACTTAGCACGTTTACTGTTTAGAACAAAAGTTTGAAGAGTTGGCAAAAAAAGAGAATTTGTTGACTTGCCTTAACTTTGCATTTAAAAATACAGTATACTTCAAAAGGTTTGAAAATATTCAGAGCTCATCAAGAATACATATTTATCTAAGAAAAAGAGAAATGTTTGTGTTTTATATTTGTAGTTACAAGCCAACTATCATTTTCAAATGGTTAATATATATTCACAAAACCAAAAATTACTATATGTAGCTAGTGAGTGTAATTGGTTGTGAAATATTAAAGAACATCTTTTATCATTTACAGAATCGTTATTTTCATTAATTATATAGTTAATTGTAGAAATACTTATTGTCTATTTCCAATATGGAATATATAAGCGAAACATTCTACAATTATTATTTCATTAAACTAAATCATTTATTTACTTATTCCAAAAATTACAGTATAGGTACTTGGAAAATAAGCCTTAGTCTTTTAATTACAGCCAGAAGCTGTGTGAACATTGTTTAATTTACTAACCATTTAGATAAAGTTCAGAGCAAATTGCTTAGATCCATTTACATTTTCTTGATGTTAATTTGACTATATTGTTATAACAAATTTTAATGGCTTTTATTTTATTATTGAATGAACATTATTTGCTTTGATAACAACTTAGTAAGCAATACGATCGGATTTTTGAAAAGATTAGATTATCTATAAATATTTTTAAATATGGATTGTATTTATCCATATATTTCACATTTTCCTACAATTTTTTCTATCCTATTTTTTTTCCAGGGAATCTTTTCTTGATACTGATTGTAGCCGACGTGCCTCGCGACTGCAAACGGGACCTGTAAAATAAAACTAAAATATTAATAAAAATAAAAACACATAAAACATATAGAAATAACCATAATGTATATATAAATCCATACTTACCTTTTACTATATATATGTATAAATTGATACTTCACTGTTAAAATATATTGTTTCTTTGTAGGGTGTATCTGTAAAATTTAATGTTACCTACCTGTATACCTACTTATTTGGTAATTAAATTGATCCCACCGCTTGTACGTAAATAACGACACCTATAGCAGTTATCACTTCCCTCGCACCGCAGGCGAACGCGTTCACTACCCTCACGCTATATATGCGCAAGCGACACGGACAGCTGTAAACTTTAATCGTTTTCATTCCACTCCACGCTTAACTGTATCGGCTTCACTGATGTCACTTGAATACATTCTGCAATAGCTTTTTATTTATTAATTGTTCTGTATTAAACGTAGCATTATTTTTTAATGAACACAGACATTTTTGCATCCTGTAGGTGAAATAGATGATATATGTTTATTCTTGATTTACTTAGTTTCTATATTTATTTAGTTAACGTATTATTATGATACATCCACAAATAATAGTGAAAATCGATTTATTCTGAATATAAAGTCCTCTAATCAGCAATAATTTCTCAGTGCATAAAATTGCAATAAATGCGTCATAAAAATAAAACATAATTGCTATTAAAAGTGTAGTGTAACAAACTTTTTTTATAAAACGACACAACTTTTAAAAGTTTTAAAAGTTATAAAAAAGATTTAAACATTTAAATGTTAAATATAAAAGCTAAGGCTTTTAACAGGAAACCTAATGAAATACTGTTCACAGCTCTATGATTACTTAACTTTTTTAAAAGAAAATTCACGCGGTATTCACTTTCTCAATCGTCACGTTACTTTGGCTTTACCTACATTGGAAATTATTACTGAATTTGCCGTCGCGTCGGTGACACACATGTTTGGCAAATCACAATTTCCTTTCAAATACGAGGTTGGTCTATTTATTGCTTTTAATCAAAGCATATATTAGATGTACATCTAATATGAATCCTTTGAGATTAAAGCGAATGATGTAAGTTCTATTTAATTACAATAAAATTGAATATATGTATTTTTTTTATTTACGTATTTTTAACTTGCAACTAGCTTTGCTCGCGACTTCCTGTGTTTGTACATTTGTAGAGCCCATCCATTCATGTTAATCTAATAACAACCCTAATTAAAAAATATGAACTTATGATGCCATTATGTAATATTATGTTATCTTTGATGCCATACTTTATTTTATTAAATTAATAAAATAGTTGATGACGCGTGGCGTATATAAAACTATTGACTAAAATTACAGTTTTCAAGAATATACTGTGTACATTATAAAAATATACAATATACTTCATTTCAATTCTTCCAGCGTTTCTACATAAAACCTTACCACACAAACAGATAGTTTCGCAGACACGCCGCCGCGCCGCCACGAAATAACGATATTATTATCTATATGTTTTATCACGGAGCTATCTACGCCACGTGCAGTTTTACAGTTCTACTGTCACATTTTTTTATTATATTATTAACACACTTTAGATTTCCTTCATAAGTAAATTGCACATTTGTGAAACTACGGCAGGGGACTATTTATTGTATAATATATTTTATATAGAAAATTTGTAAGTTATGCAGAGAATAGTAGTAAAATTTTCAGGCACACTCTAATAGGTTCCAACATAAATTAAAACGCTATCTCCTGAATGGAAACTGGTATTACACAAAATCCGAAGTAAAACTTCTACTACATTAATATTGCGGAACCAATGTGGATTTCCGTGAAATCGCTTCTAAGACACTAAGTTGGTTAGTTTCCGTAACGTAGCTTCAGTTAGTGCTGAGTATTAGGCAGTGTTTGGAGATGGAACAGATTTATTCTTATGTATGTATACTCGTATAGATAAGAATGTTTTTATAAAACCGTAATTTTGTAACGTTAAGATAAAAAAACGGAACTCTACTCTTATTTTCGATTAATAACTGTATGAATTATTCTAATTTTTTATTCAAGTTAACTCCAAAAACTACTCAACATTTTATTATGGTATTTTGCTCTCTGTGTCACTAATATGTACGAGTAATTTAGTCCTCCGGTTAGGATAGTTTTGTTTAGAACTACTGAGCGTGGCCGGGTCAGCTAGAATAATATAACTTACGGCGCTGTAATTTAGTACAGTTGTAGATTTTACTAAAAGAGTGCAGTTTAATATTTTAAAATATGTGAAATATAATACCTATCTTATCTGCATACTGATAATTATTTTTAACGAATAATAGAGAGTAGATTATAATTTTGTATGTGGCTTAGATTTGTCGGAGAGATGAATTGAAGTCCAAGTGGGTACTTGAGTTTCTAACAGTCATTAATCACTCTTAACATCCTACTGAAGTGCTATTAATATTCTCACACATTAATTTTCAATTTAATGCAACTTATAATAATATTTGATCGTTCTAAAATCTATTTTTATATGTTACACATGGAACAGGTATTTTATAAATTACCAAAAAGCGACAAGATTGTAGCGATACAGGGTAAGGAAGTAGGATACGATGTTATTGGACGGAAATTTTACGGCACATTTTTACGTGTCGAAGTATAAAAGATTATTGCTGTAGATTAAATATACTATGTGTATTACGAGTGGGGATGTAATCAAAGCAAAAGGTATATATATACTTGTGTATGATATATGTTTGTAAGTAAAAATATTATTTTTATAATTATTAAAATAAATTTTAACATGCATTAAATTCTTGTTTAAGAAGAGAAATCTGTACTCTGTGGTAAAAAAACAGTATAATGATATTCCTTCATTATAGTCTTAACATTTATAGAATTCTATGTACTCGTATTTAGCCGATTCTATATTGATTCGAGTCTTGTATCGGTTTTCGTAGCATTAGTAACAGCCCATTTTCATTATTTGCTAGATGTTAGTTTCGTTAAATGTATGGCGCATTAGCGCTCTACAATGTGTCTGATTTCGTAGACATGATTAAGCATCACAAAAAAGATATAGAAGCAAAACTGTGTAGCAGAAGAGTTTTTTTTTGTAATGTATATGTATATTATTTTAACACTATAAACATTATTAGTTTTTTTACACAGGTACCGGTTACATATGCATATATCAAGACCCAAATCTGAATATGTGTAATCCACTTGTTTGACATGTTTCCAGCTTAAGAGATCTCATGTAAGAGAACTAAAGTTAACTTTAACTTTTGCTTCTAGTAGGAATTTGTGGTAAGTAAATTGCATAATAGGACTTAATAGCAACAAATAGCAGCAGCATGCTCGATTAAACTTTCCAAAAAATAACTGTATGGCTTGTCTGGTCCAAAATAAACTTTTGTTACGCTTTCGAGTATATTTTTATTATAAAAATAATTACTTTTATTGTAACTAAAAGTGAAAAATAAGTTTGTTTTGTTCAAATTACTGAAACACAAAACCCTCAATAATATAGGCTGTCCCGCCTTTTTACCCAAATGTCCGACCAAACTGGCTGGTCTGTCCGGCTATCAGGTTTGGCGACCTGGCAACCCTAAATGTGGCTATGGTGTGCTACGAGCTTGAGCTTGGCATCCCTGGCGCGTGGCGCTAGGCTGGACGGGATAGCCTGGCGTGGCCGGGGCGGCGCGGCGCTGCGCCCGCCATTCAGCCCGGGCCGCGCAGTAGCGCGCCAGTCGCCGCGCCGCGTGCCGCCTTCGCACCTTCATAACATGACAAGCGAATAACTTTTCCGTACTTTTCCACGCGCGCTCTCTTGATTTTCCCTCTACGTTTGTGTTCGCGCGCCGGCTTCATTGTACTTGGTTACACGGTACCATGAATTTGTGATGTGATAAGGCGATTGTGTGTGTTGCCGTTGCTTTGACGTAATTTATGTAAGTACCCACTTAAGTGTAAATAATTATCTACTATTAATATTTTATTGTTATTTTATATTGTTGTGAATAGAAAAAATATGATTCAATTTTTGATCGCATTTAACTATCGCTGTTCGTTAGGTTTATAATTAATATTGCTTATTTACATATTAAAAAAAGTAGGTTAACACTTTATCTCAAATTGTTAATTAAAAATGACGGTAATAATTCCCATAATGTGCTGTCTCGTGGAGAATGAGCTTACAAAAGATAATGAACCACTCTCTTTAACATTTAACAAAAGCGACGCAGGCAAGCATCACTTAGTCGTTGAATAAATTTGAAGAAAGCTCGCGACCGCTACTATTTGCATTTCTTGATTTGTTCAGAATCTGGATACTGCGACATTGTCATGTATCGCGTGATTTGATCGAGTAGCGTTCGAGTTATGAGTCCTGTGGTACTCGCACTTGAGGCGAGAATCGTCGCCTCCAGTAAACGGCAATATCCCGCCCTCGCGGCGGAATTTTCAGTGTTATCACATAAATTCTTATCGCATTACTGGGTTAATATAACCTCTAATATAATTGTTTAAATTGCCACGTTAGTATGATAAAAATGGTTTATATAAAGAAGTTGCTGTCTTAATTATAATGAAATGTAATAAAAGTGAACAAAATATAATGAAAATAAAGATCAAAAATAATAACAATATCAGAAAGATACTTAAATCGATTCCATTTATCATGTATTATGTCAAACTACACTGTTCATGAATATAAATTAGTTCTTAATACTGTTTTATTTACTTACCTCGATATTATAGATTGAAGCAACATACGAATGTTGCTTCAATCTATAATACAGTATAAGCCTATAATTCTCTAACGTATATTTTATTGTGTTATTTATGTAAACCCATGGAATGAAATATAATACACAAATCAATATAAGTGATTGGGATAAAATTTAGCTTAGGTCAGCAGGGACATAGCCCAAGGGCCAAGGATTGACATGGAATATGTGTGGGACGTCCCTATCGTTGATAACGTTGTCTAGTAGTTCAGTATACCCATAATTACAAAGTTTCCCAGTAAATTAATGCTGTGTGGTCTCTACTAGTATTGATAGTATATACACGTCTTATTGTATATTCACCATTATGTATGTATAATTGTGCGTATCTGTAATTGAGTGTGATCTGAATAGTGACCAATAAGTAAATTTAGTTGTATAATAGTTGTAAGAAAGGTGTAGCTATGCGAAATAAATAAATTAATTGCTACTTTTACTGTATATAAATATTTAAAGAGCATAAAATGAAGTCTCGTCCACTGCCTGTTCGCTTAGATCTTTTAAAGTATGCAACGGATTTCAATGCAGTTTTTACCATCTCATAGAGATATTCAAGAGGAAGGTTTATACGTAATATAGTTCAGGTACACTCATGCGAAGCCGGGGCAGCATATGTAAATCATTTATCCTTAAATAATTGCAGAATACCTTGGGTTTTTAATTTTTTTTATTTGTGTCTACGTGCTAACGGCAGTTACGAAGTCTTAAAAAAAAATATATATATAGTAACATTATATAATATTGTAGAAAATTATTTCTTCATAACAGGAATCATTCCGGAATTTTGAGTAGTAAATATAAATTAAAAAGGTAACTAAGAAGGATTTACCAAATATTACCATGGAAACATCTCACTTGATATAATTGTAGTTAATTTTAATTTATTTCGTGTATTTCTAATATCGTTTTAAATATAAACATGCTGGAACTAGATAATTAATAAAACTATTTCATATAAGATATACGATTATAGATATACTGTTTTGTAAGAGTGACTTTTTTGTCGTCTATAAGTATTAACATAACATAACATACGTCGCTTAAATAGGGCCTCATGTAAAAATTCATAAAATAACATAAAGTGATAAATATTCTTTATCATGACAGTGATTGGAGATGGCTAAAACTATTTTGCATATGGTTCATTTATTGCATAGAAAAGACTCGGCGCTTTATATAAGTAACTAGTTGTAACCCGCGACATTCTCTGCTTTTTGGAATAAAAGATCTATCTCCATATAATTCGTTCAGACGTTTAGTTATAAAAAGGTAATAAACAGACATACAGTCAGACTTTCTTATTTATATATAGGATATAATATATAAATAAGATATAATGAAAGTATATAAAATATATCTTAGTTATTGTATGAAAAATCTGATGTAATTGTAGAACGCTCGAGGGAGCTAAAGCTACTCTGAGCCTGAGGACAGATTTTTGAATTTCAAATTTTCTAATATAATTAGAGCCCCTTAATGCAGGCAGACACTTTGAATATTTTTCGTAAATTAACTAATATTTCTTGGTGAAGTGTTTTATATTTCACTGAACTGCAAAGTATAAAATTATGAAATTTCATACATTTATTATAAGCTGTGCAAGATTATTTTAGCAATACATGCAAACTGACAGCTTTCGAGATAATAAATGAGTATCATTGTGAATTTGTATAAAACGTTGAGTGCCACATAAATCTAGGGATTGTTGCGGGAACCTCTTGTAAGATAATATAAATCTTCGCTTGATTTATGGTTAAATATATAAATAACTCTATACGAATCAACAAGTTTTGAGACAGATGCTTTGTAAATCAGTCAGTACAAATAATAAAGACATCAATGTACTACATGACTTCATAAAATAGAAGGATCAAAACATATATATTTAAATATATACGTACTTTGTTTAGTTTATATATTCAACGACTTGTTTGCAATCTAGGCTAACCTACCAACTGATGATGTGGAATCATGTTCCCATCATCTTAAACATGAATAACACAATGAATATCGTAGTGTGTAGTCATACGTTTTGAGGATTACTGCATGGAATGTTCGTTTTGTGTCAGATATTGCATCTGACACCGCGTTTGCATAAGACAATAGGTATAAACGCATGTTTTAAACCAAGTCATATAAGTTGTGAAATATGTATAAAACGACATTTTTTCAATTTTCAACATCACAAACTTTGTTTACATCCAATTTCATGTCACAAGACTGTATTTAGTACATATTTCGCATATCTTACAGAACAACTACATAATTAGTATTGCAAGCTCTTCTAAGACGTCATGCATAACATTTAATATTAGCGCGTAAATTTTAATTTTCAATTTGACCTTCCCAGTTAGTATGTGATACAAGCTATTAGGTACATCAGTACAGAAAAATAAGTAAGATAAATGTTATATTGCTCAGGCAAACAACATAAACTCACCGCTACAAAGTAGAGAAATTTGTGTTTTTATCCAGAACAATTTTAATAAATATTATTTATCATATATTTGATGAAGTATTGAAATTAATCTAATTTGCTTAAAAAATACAAATGGTTAAGTTTTTTTAACAAAATTTATTCAATTATAAAATTAATATTGTTAAAAAAACTGAACCATTTGTATGTATTTTTTAACTTATCGAATAAAATAAAGAAAAGAATAGTTGAAAGTTGTCGCTTTGCCTGGAAAAATCTGTCGGAAAAATGAGTAAGCACTTACCCTCCATTCCAGTAAATGATAGCTATTTCGACGTTTTACTGGATCATTTTTAAATCAATGAATTGGTAAAGACGAAATCTTGTAGTAGGCTTGCCTATTATCATATAAATTAAAATCTACAGCTAAGTTAATATTGAATTTTGATGAGAATTTAACGCCTTGAAATGCATATAATTAATATATTGCTGGGATGGAGAAGTCGTTAATATGCATCTAGTTACCTTAACCTATACATAAAACCTCGTGGTATACAGTAATCAATCAAAAATTGTGTCAACTTTCATTGAAATAATAGTGGTTACGGTGTCAGGATATATTTCAGTTTTTATATGTACTCTCTAAAATTACTATTTTTTTATACTAGTTTATAACAAAACACACTTTGCCAAAAGATCAACACCAAAACAAATTTATCATTTGGATGAGATGACCTACTTTTTACTAAAATCTATTCAGTTTTGGCGAAGACATCCTGCAACATATAATTTCCAATTGAGTGTATTCACTTTTTGGAAGTCAGTTAAGAATATTATAGAGTTGATACCTGCTTACTTGTTTCTATGGTTCATGGAAATGTACATCCGCCTGGGTTTACGGTATATGCTTTAGTTATACCTATACAAAATGATAAGATGATCATGAGGTTAGTTCATTGTGAAAAATTTACCCAGGATTAAGAAATTCCTTCTGTTTGATACCGTTTGAAAAACGGAAATTTTACATTAAATTTTCTTCATTTGGTTTGTGTTCATATTTAGAACCTTCGATTTCTCATATTTGTAGGCTTATACCTTATACTTGTTTACTTCTAAGAAATATGATATAATATGATTACTAATTATTATGCTGACATATATTCTAGGGTGAGAAAAACACATGCTCTCACTTATTAGCATTAATTTATGGCAACTACTGAAGATGATCATGCCTATGTCTGGCCGTTAGCCAGCAGCTGGTTATTCTAACCAACAAGTTGTAGACTATCGTGTAAGTGATAAATAAGGCGTATTCACTAATAGCTATATTTTAGGAAGGTATTAATCAATAACAATCAACAATCAACCTACCTGATTAATATATATATTAATTTAAAAACTTATAAGTATTTTTAAACCTATCTATTCTTTAAAAGAATGAATTAAAACATTATTATATTATTTATTTAATTATTCTGTTTCCATTTCTATATAAAATAAGTAAAAGTTAAGTTTATAAACAAAATTGGGTCAAGACCGTCGTGCTTATAAAATATGTAACAAATTGTAGTTAAACCTTTATAGTCCTTTGAAGGTTAGAATACATACATTGTAGAAGAGAAAAGAAAAACACTTTGGTGAAAGAAAACGAATTTATGAAACAAAACTGTATCGTGTAAATCGTGTCGAAGTCAAAATCCTTGTATAATGACGACGATGATGGATTGATATAATATTAAATTTAACG